GATTTCCTCGATAATATTCATTCGAAATTCGGATTTGATACCGTTGAAGTCAAACCGTTTAACATAATGTTAATAATGGCTTGTATGAATCCAGTCGCTTTGTTCATCTGAAGGTCTCATGTGTTGGACCGTGTTTTGTTTTTGTAGGTGCATAAAACAAACGGAGACATAAAACCGGCAAAATCGGCTAGTCAGCTTGTGGGAAGTCTGCTCCTGGAATGTGGAAACGCGCAAAATTACATACGGAATGCCGCCCGCCTACTCATACCCGTCCTTCAATTGGCTTGTGTCAATACCAAACGTGCGGCTGCGGAAGCTGAGTGATATATACGCATACCAGTCCATGCAGGTGTGTATACATGGCAGCTGACGGTCACGGATCCTCCGTCACGTCCTGTACACGAAGCCTCTCCACCCTGATCGTCTTTCTGTGATTGAGGTTGGTACAGAATGAATCTCGGTTTATTCTGGTGTTTACTCTTAAGTGTGTGTTTGTCAGCCACGAGTTTGTTCTACTTCTCATTTCCGTCGTCTTTCTCACCATTTCACGGTTACAATCGATTTACCTGGCCAGAACAAATGGCCGTTATTGTCCCTATAAATCGGTTCCTTATTGTGGCACGACACTTATCGTGGGGCACAACCAAGCTAATCCATTTTCCACCCATTCGCCCGCTACAGTCCGACCTATCGAGTCCACATTGCACACATCCTTGTTCTCTCCCCCTGACTCGGTTCATGGTATTGCACCCCAGTTCTCTTCTTTTTTTGCTAATTAAATTGCAAATAAAACAGTAATCTGTTTTCGTTTTTACACTTCTGCTCTCGGTTATCTTAAACGCCGCACCTCTGAAGAAATAAAATCAGTATTTCAGTCGAATACTCGATACTAGAAGCTTGCTGATTCGAAGGCACTTTTTCGACACACGATCCGATCAACCTCTATACAAAGTAACGATCAAGATTATGAACCATACGTTTGTGCCCCGATATGGTATTATATGTGATGAATGGTCCACACCATCGAATAATGACACCACCCACAACCGAGCCACAATGAAAAGGTTATGGTGTGGCACACATTGAAGCCCAGATCTCAACGCAGCAGAAAACAGCATTTTAACGCACCGGTTGCATTTGGGTTGATAATGTACAACTCTAAAGATCAACTAGACTCCGCACTGAAATGCTGATGGTAGCCTGCCGACTAAGTAATCAACAATCTCTTAGACCGTGTGCCCAAAATATTTCGAGGTTTTGAAGTGTATCTTAGTCCGTAAGCTATATTAGCTTACCTTATTTGCATTGAACTCCAGGGAACAAGAGTTATATTTTATACTTTCGTTATGGCGTGCATAGTATGACAAACAGAATTCATAAGAGATCAATCGAAGATCCCTGTCTCAAAGAACCACACTATTGTTGTGTATCTCATTGTTTTGTGGTTCACATGGTCACGAGTGGGTTTCTCGGGTTGTGACTAGTCACGATTCCCTTACACCTCGCGAAATGCTCCTGTACTGAGGAAGCCCTACTCACTGCCTTCCCGTGGCGGCAGTGTTTTACCACCAAAGTGAGAGGACGAAAAGCCGACATCCGGGGCTATAACCGGGTTGATGAACCATTA